ATAAAACAATCCAGGTAATCTATTTGGCGGCATGCCATCAGTAAAGATTTTAAAAGCCCCATGTAGCACGACTTATAAAAAAAAAAACGTCCATAAAAACGGCGAAAAGATGGTACTCTCCTTGCTGCTAAAATGGAATGGGGACAGCCCAAACGGTAAGGACCTATAGAGCTACTAGATATTTTATTGTAAATCTTGAAACCGGCTACTTTGTAGATCACCTATTTCCGGGAAAAATAAAAATTAACTGTGCGGGTGAATTCGGGCGTTTCGCCGACGGTTTTAACAGAGGAGACGCTAGATTCTGACTGATGCCAGAGAAATGCTAGTAGGTGTTGCTTAATGGTCCTATCTAGAAAGCATCCGTGACGTTCAACAACTAGACAGTTACAGTATATTGTGGTGGTCATTGGCGTGGTATGGTGCTTCTAGTATGTAAACATTGACTGCTGCAAATTTAACATATTTGCATGATGTAACATCCCCGGTATGTAGAATTGCCACCATGAAAATAATGGTCAAACAAACGGATAAAAGTCACACTTTTGCCATCATTAGATCTGTTATATGTATATTTATTTCGTGGTTGATATATTACTTGCAGGTAACAGAAACCACCAATTACCAAGCCAATCACAACATAACATTTATTATATCAAAAACACGTAGCCGCGGGCAACGGCCCGACTATTAGTACGTTTGCTAATCGTCACTATTGAAGATCACATCTGAACAGCAGACCTAATAACTGTGGAAAAATATTAATCAGCCAAGATGTTTCTTGTGTATTTTCTCATGCTCTGGCATAATTTTTGGTCGGGCAATACAGCCATTACATGTTGGACTTATGGAAACTGCGCAGGGCAAGTGCCTAATTTAAAGACCATACCTGACAATGTGACTGTAAAAGCACTACTGCTCAATTCAAATAACATCAAAGAGCTGACGCCTCTACCGGTACTGTCGAGACTGATTTATCTGGATTTGTCCAACAATCGTTTGCGAACATTCCCCTGGTCATCTCTTCGCAATTTACCACGAATCGAAACGTTGAAGCTATATAACAATGATATTTATAAAGTTGACGCCTACGTTGACTTCCCTGCATCATTCCAACGTCTTTATCTGCAATCTAACCACATTGCCACGATTCCCGAAACTTTTTTGGACGGACTGAAGACACGAAAATTGTTCTTCTTGCGCATATATCAGAACCCTTTCCTCTGTGACTGTAAGATCCAGTGGATCGCTCGTTTGCGGCGATGTGTGTGGGAACACCGGGACGAAGGCTGCATGGACGCTCCTTTCTTGAGAGTGAGGACGTGCATGTTCTCCAACTGCAATTTCCTTCCGAGTGGCGTTGTGGTCATCTTGGACATGCATCACATTAACCCTAAATTTCTGCTTCTACCGAAAGAGTATCAGTTACTTAGGTGTGACTCGCCGCGAGAATTACGAAGAAAATTGCTGAAAGACGTCACTCTGCCGACCTGCGCATCTCCCAGCGCATCGGTAACACCAGGACTTGGAGTTAATCATGTGTCAAACACAGTTGGACAAGACAGGACAGAACTGCAAATGTCAAACACTTCCAACGGGGAGATAACCACAGTCAGCACATCCGAGGCTTCATTGGTGAATGTTTGGAGAGGTGAGGTTACATTCTACATTTCTGTACCTTTCACAGTCCCGTGCTTTACAAATGAAATACCTTACAACTTCTATACGCAGATGGTAGACTTTAGAGGGTCCGGGAATTTATCTAATCTCATAAACCGTCTTTTATTTAGTGCTTAATGACCTATACTCTCTTCTAGTGATATTTTGATGGTTTTAATTGACTTTGGTATAAACATTATCATGCACTGCAAGGTAGGAGAATTGTTACCAGGGTATCAATTGTAATTCTGAACTCATTTTGAACGGGACAAACTGTCTTGACATATCACGACAGTAGTGATATTTTGATCAGCTTTTGTGATAAATAATTCATCTATCTTAAGGATAAACAATTCTTCAGTTCCTTAGTCCATCATATTCAGTTATATTAAATAGATGGTGCAACAGATCATTCACCACGTAAGAAAACTCAACGTGCGCACGTCTTTTTCTCTTTGCCACAGGGGATATCGTTTTACTCCTCGGCGCCGTTCTTGCTGTCATAGTTGTCGCCTTAATCAGCTTCCGTATCCGTCTTTTTCTCCGCACCTACCGACGACACGGGGGAACTGCAGGCGTTCTTCGCCAGGTGAGAGGACCAAAGTCTGGACATTCAAGGCGCAGAAGACGTCACGAGGTACACGAGGATGAAGACGATACCAACTGTATAGCAATGGTCGTAGTGAGAAGGGAAGATTCCTCTTCAAACTCTAGGTGGGTATTCCCCCCTCCGTTGCCCGACAGGGAAGGAAGAGTTGTACCGTCGCACCAAACATCGGTTCTCTAGAGGTCAAACCATCATCTAGCTTCTCCCACAACTACAACTTCCTTAGCTACAACACCAGACAGACGTCACAACTCTACATGCCTTTATTAAAAACCACAGCTGGGCAACACACATTTACTTACCGAGAAGTAAACTATTTACACTCGCAACCTAAAAATATCGCACAACTCGCATCGCTGAAAAGTTTCAAGTCTGCACTGAAAAGCATGCAAGCTGTACATATAGTTTACAATCAGCTCTGACCTCCAAAGAAAAGCTGACCTGGACTGTGGAAAGGACATGAGTTGTGGAAAATGATTCTGATTTGTTTACATCGACTTTTGTATATGATTTCATGTAACACATGTAACGTTGTTTATGTATACCTTTGGGTACTTGTGTTACCTATGTTTTTTTTAACTCCATATATGTAACGTTGTCTTTACAATAGTGTATTTCCTTTTATGTTGCGTGGGACCATTCACGATTTTCAACATGGGTTTACACCCGGCCGTTCCACCACCACTCAGCTTCTAGAAACATACCACAAAGTAAGGTCCATACTGGACAGAGGGGGGCAAGTAGATATGTTATTTCTCGACTTTGCCAAAGCATTTGATTCCGTGTCTCATACCCTTTTGACCCACAAGCTACAAACATTTGGCTCCTAGCGTGGCCACCTATACCTCCTCCCAACATCTTTGTTAAGGATTTCAACAAAGGATAGTTGGAAATTTAAAAGCTGC